ACTGCTTTGGGCTAAGAAGGGTCAGAAAACAAACTATATTTTAACTATGAGAGTGAGTGTTGACAGAACAAAACACAAAATTTCAGACAGTATACATGAACATGTATTTTTTATCTTCAGAGTACTACCTTGGCTTTATCTTTGACTGCATGCTCCTGATTTCCATTAAGCATGACTACCTCCTTGTCTTGTCAAGCAATTAAAGTGACAAAAGTAATAGCAGATGCTTCTTTCATAGTTAAAACTACAGCAAGCAGACCATAGCTTGCATTTTATTACAACTGCTCCATACAGCCTTGTAATTGCCAGGTAATTGAAAAGATCCTAATAATAAACCACCAGTTTACTTTTTTTTTTTTTAGACAAAATAAATATGTAACCCAATTCAAGCTTCATTTTAACAACACATTAGATGGTTTCCAACTTGTCTTGATTTTTGTTTTATTTTTATGATTGTAAATAAACCCTGGAAAATTCCTTCCCCAATTTTACCACCTGAAACTGCAGCTGTTGGCTGACACTATCAAAGCCTCGCAATTCTGAACTCACGTGCAAATCTCATCAAGTGCAGACACTTCTAATTGATTCCAGAAGTTTTTCTTTTGCTAAGATCAGCGGGTAGAAGAAGAATAATGAGCAGCTTTTAAGCAGAGGGGGGAGGGTGTTGAGCTCAGAGAGTGGAGATTTTAAAAGCTCCAGCTCAACTGCTCTGCCAGAAATGTGGAGCAATTTTACGGTCAATTGGCCAGAGCATCTGGAACTATACATCATAGTCTTTAGTTGATGGTGGTGAAGCCGACTCTCAAACTGGCTAAGTCTAAAATCAGTAATGACTCTGCTGTCACACCTAAGTGGAAACTAACTTAATCTACTGCCAGATTTTACTGTGACTTTTTCTAAGGGACATTATTCCCCTTAGGGCAATTGTCAAGAATATTAAAAGTCCAGTCCCTGGGATACACTGCATGGCATAGCAAACTTTTCTGAATGAAGCTAACATAGAAAAAAATTATTACAACTTGTGTTTATTTAATTCCATGCATGTTGACAAGATTTTTTATCATAAGGCAGTAGAGTTTCCTTCCAATCCCAGTTTCATTTCTAAAATACACTTGAAATACACCAGCCAATCTAGTTAGGGCACAGAGGCTGCATAAATGCTGAGGCCGTAAATCATAGCACGGGGCACGGAGCTTTAACCTTAATGGAAACCAAATATGGGATATGCGGCTCTTTGAAATGTGGCACAGATGATCATAATGAGGGACCAAGGAAAAATGCTGCAGAGTAGAAAACCATCATTGATGTGGAAATAAGTTCTTATGAGTAAATGTTTGGTTTAAGTCAGTACTCATAAGTCAGTATTCCAACGCTGGTAAATTACACTAAGAAACAAGTGAGGTAACAGCAACTCTTTGTACGATGAAAGGAGAAAAAAGTAGCATAGTAATATATCACATTAAGAGGGACTTCTGTGGAACACAGGATACAGTGTAAATCAGTTCTTTAATAAAGAGATATTTTATATTTTATCCAGACCAATTAGTTGCCATGCCATAAGAAATACCTGAGTTGCATCAAAGATCAGAGAAGCAGTCCATTTGATACCGAATACTGTCTCCAAAAGTTTTTGCAACAGCTGCATCTATCAACTTCAGATACTCTGGAGGTGTAAATAAACTATTCGACCACAACAAAGCTTATTTCTGCCTTCATTTGTTAAGGGCTGAACTACACCCTGCAGCACAACATTCTGTATAACTTCCAAAGCTAGTTATATTTCTAATATACCACACACCCAGATAAAACAAAAAAGAAAACAAGTTATTAATTTAAAGCATCACATGTATATACAATCTCTCTTTTTCTCTCTTTTCTTCCCTCTTCCTCCATTAAAGTTGCCCTAGATTTTTGCCCTTCCTACCTGCAAATTAATGCATGCCTGCCAGATAAATGAACACATCAAGACAGATATCTATTTCCTCCTCCAGCTTCCTCCCTCCTAGCTCCTTAGTTTAAGTCTTTCTCAGTTGCAGCCACTATGAGAGTTGTTGAAAATATTTCAGACAAGAGTTCCAACAACATGTCAATGGCTTTCATTTCTACTTGCTCCTCATTAGTACTACTGTCAAATAACAGCGAGTGCTTGACCAAATTCAGCTCATGGAATATGCTGGCTGATGCCAAACCAGAGCAGTTGGATGGAAACACTTTGAAGAGGTGCACCATCATCACAGATTTATTTTTACATATCACGCCTGCTGAACCGTCACATAACTGAACATTCAAGCAATGTTTTCTGCTACCTCCAGGTGGTTAGGAGGCTCCAGGCCCAGTCTGACAGAAAATGATTTGGCTTTCGAAATACACACAATCATCACATTACACAGGCATGAAATAATCAGCCTAAAGAAAACTAAATAGTATAGGATGTGGCAGCACAGATTCTCAAAAAGAAACACACTGGTTCTTTAAACCAGTCAAATATATGTCTGTCCCTAACATTGAGGTTTTCACTGACCACCATCCAAGAAACAATTTTCTTAGGATCTAAAAATTTTCTCATACATCACCACTTTTTTTTTTTAAACAAACAAACAAAACATAAACTTCCAAACAAAACATAAAACTCCAAACAAACACAACAACCACAATCACCTCTACTTCTTTCATCTGCACAAAATACATTCAGGACAAGGTTAACAGAAAATGCATGCTGAGAAACATGCACTGTTCCACCTCCTGTAGTCACTTTTGTGATGATGATAGTTTCAAATTATTTTCTTGCTTGGAGAAGGAAAGCGCAATGGGAGAGATCCTCATGAGCATCTAATCAAAGTATTTAAAATACAATAGCAGAGAGAAAAATATGTTTAAATGATCAGAAAAATAATATAATTTTCATATGGAAGCTAAACCTAGGTGTATGTTAAAGAAGGGATATTTAGATGAGGAAAACAAAAATAATAAATAAATGTTTTAATTTATATCTCTTAAAATTTTTAAGAGGATGTGAAAGCAAAACATAGCAAAGGAAGCTGAAAAGCAAGGAGATAAAAATTACCAGGACATATGTAGCATAAATTAAAAAAACTGCATATAAGATATCTCTCTGTTTATGGGCCACAAAAGATATTCAAAGTTTTCTACACTATCATACTTTTAAGGATACATAACTTCTTTGAATGGTGAATGGAAACAATTTTAGGATAAATCTTAAACCTAATTTCTGGGGAAACACTATGTTTATTTATTTATTATGCTTTCTGATACTGCTATTTCAAAAATATCAGGTAAATACTGAGATAAAACATTAATGTTTGAAGACTTTTCAATTAACAAATCTCCATCAGTTTCTCTTTGCTCAGACTTTTTTTTTTTTTTACATAAACTTCATTAGACATGTAGGAACACAACTAACATGGATCCAGGAACTGTATAATGCATTGGGAGTAAAAGCAGATCACTTACTTTTAAATGGGGAATTCTTTGAAACTTATCACAAACATTCAGACTAAAAAAAGAAAAATATTTTTTATGATGAAGATGGTGAAACACTGGAACAAGTTGTCCAGAGAGGTATTAGTTGCCCATCCCTGGAAAGATTCAAGGTCAGGTTGAACAGGGCTCTGAGCAACCTGACATAGTTGAAGATGTGTCTGCTCACTGCAGGGGGTTGGACTAGATGGCCTTTATAGGTCACTTCCAACCCAAACTATTCTATTATTCTATGATTCTAGGATCATAATAGCTATTAATATCACCAAATTGTTGAGTCATGACAAAATGTAAATCCCAAGAGTGGACATATCAGCATCACTGAAAAACATTATCTACTCTGGTGTCCCCAACAGCAAATTATTTGAAAGACAACTATTCTTTCAGAATTTTCAAAGCAAAATTGTAAGGAAGGTACTCCTGTTTCTTGTGATAAATGGACTACCAAACAAGGGACTGTGCCAAACAAGAGACTAAAATAAGAACAAAAAGGAACTGTAATATAAAGGATAAAAAAAGAACATTAAACACAAAAAAGGATAGGAGAGTACAGGAGAGAAGAAATTGAGATGACACTAAAGTTAAATTTTTTATGACAGAAAAATATAACAAATGGAGTAAAAACCATAATTCTCTACAATCAATAAAAATAATAATCTGATAATTTTACTTCTACTTGTTTCTTAGAAAGAAACATCATTATGTATGAATACACACAACTCAACAAGTAATGAGAGTGTATACTATGACAAAGAATTCTCCCATAATTCAGTTAGAATACCCAAATAATTCAAGTCTGAAAGCTACATCTTAAGGCCTATAGGATTAGTTGACAAATTTTAGAATTTGTTGCTACAAGCATGTCTACTTTATTAGGCTACTCATGAAATAATGCAAACATTTCCCAAATTATATTTAAGCAAGTAAAACCCTTAAAATATCTGCTGAGTTCTGGCAGACTCCTATCAAAGCAATTCAAGAGCTTCTTGATTTATACACCAAAGCTTTGACAATGTAACAATATAGGGGAAAAATTTAAAAAAATTCTCAAATAGGGGTATTTGTCCAACTTTAAATACTGTCTAATAGTTATTGTTTCCTATTCCAGGTAAAAAGACAAAACAAAAAAACACCCAGACCCACAGCACCAATAGATATTTTTCATTTTCCTATTGCCTGTTCCCTTTGAAAAGCAGAATCAACACCATGACCAGAAACCTCCAATTGGGAAAGCTGCTATAAATTTTGCAGATGTTTCAAGAAATGGTAAATACACACTTTCATGAGTTTTTTCAGTGGAAATTTGCTCTCTGTAGCAGACCCAAATAATTTTCTTACAAAATAATCATTAAAAAAAAATGAAAAATAAAGCGGTAAGAAAAAACAATACTCATTGCAATAAAAACTAAGAAAACAAAATATGAATGTTTAGTGTTTCTGCTTTTATAAAAAGATAAAAATCTACAGTAATCAGCATAGACTCTTCAAAGTAAATGTCTTACCTCATATGCATAGCCCAGGAAAGAAAACTGACTTCTAAAGTAGCCAAGTTTGTAAACACCTATGAAGACTAAGCAGCGGATCATTTCCAAAATTCCTGCTTTGGACCTAGAAAAGGGAATCAATTCAGATTAACATCCAGTCTTTTCTTTGTTAACTTCAGTGAAAACCAGAAAGTAGAATTAGTCTGTGATGTCCTGCATCAAGTCAACTTTCATAACCTTATAGTTAAGTTTTTATAGTATACACCTTTTCATGTGTCTATTTCTGCAATTTTTACTAATTCACATTATTAACTCCCTTAGTTATACACATATATGGCATACTGACAGATTTTCACCTATCCTGAAAGAAACCGTTCAGTCCATAAAAGTCAAAGGTATTCGTTTCTGAAAATACAATGAACAGCAGGTGCAAAGCAGTACGGGCACCCCGGTATCAAAGGAAGCTTCTATTCCACATTTCTGCTCTGGCAGGGCAAATAGTTTCTTTGTAAGAAACTATGGCTGCCACTTATTCTTGTGTAGGGCCACATGGCCTGTATGCACTACTTCATAATATATGTCTCACTGGGCTCATGTATTCAAGGTCCAATTTCATTTAAACCCATACTGATTAAGTTTAGTCTTAGGTCTACGCAATCTTTCACATGATATTGAGCCTACTCTGACCTACATTTTGTGCTTTTCATATACCATCACTGTATCTGCCACCTATGGCATGCTACACAGGACTGACACAATATGGTTGCAGTCTGACCTTGAAGAGCCTTGGGACAGCTGGCAGGTCCCACTCACCTGCCAGTGTCCCAAACCCGGAGGTGGGGACCCAATAAATGCAACCCATCCCAAAACTTTTCAGCAAGGGACAATATAAATGCAAACACTAACTGCTATGGGAACACTCCTGGATTGATGTGCTGGCTAGCCATGTGCTATTTTCTAGTCTACAGAAAACAACGTATGTGTCCAAGCACATCTGTATTTCTTTATCAATATAAGTTCTGACACACTTGACACTTCCATACAATTATAAATAATACATAATGAAAGAAGAAAAAAAGCCATGTTTTGTATCTTACTTGTTCTCCATAAGTAGTCCAAAAGAGGCCAGGGACAGAATGATAAAGCCAATTCTCAGGAGGACAGTTCCCTGTGATAATGTCTGTTAAAAAAGTAGGCAAAGAATTCATTTAGACTAATTTTCTGCAAATAAATGGAGTTTTTACAGAACAGCAGCTTGAACTTCCTCACTCAGCTGTGTTAGCATCTGCTTTTAAAGTAATCTATCTGGAGTAACCACCTTAATAGCTGTTTCCTGAATGCTGCATTTCCAAAATGATGTTTCATGTTATCCCCTTCTGTGCTTTTTGTTGTCCCAAAGTTACTTGATTTCTTTATGACTTTAGAAAGAGGGAACAACTTATTTCTAGATAAAAATCAAAGCGCCTCTGTTCTTTTAATTTCATTTTATGTTACCAGGTCTTTACAATAGTCATCTATGAATCCCAATGGACACCAAAATCAATGTATTGGTGAGAATAACAATTCACTTGACATGATCCTATTTGAGAAGAAACAAAATTAATGTTTTCCCTTCATTACAAAGAAACACTTGATTCCCAGCTCAGCAAAACCCTTCAACTCATATCATTAACTTCAATCAGAGTAAAACATTTTTTAACGTTAACACGTGTGTGAGTACTTGGATGAATAGCAGCATGGGGACTTCTGTCCTTAAAATTTACATAAAAATGATATAAATACAACTCAGAAAAACAGAAATTATTTTGATTTAAAAGTTTTAATTTTTTTATTTACTAAATTTACCTTTGTATTCCACACAGCTGCCTTTGAAAATCAAATATTTAATCAGGTTTCTTATTTTCTCCTTGACTTTGTTTCAAATATTAGTTTTTTAGTAAAAAACAAAACAAAACAAAACAAAAGTAATGGATCTGACTGAGTCATAGGAATCCTTTCTTGTTTGAACACCAATACAGTTAACGAACAGCATCTTGCACTTCTACAATGCAAGCATTGGAAAAATAAAACTCTATAAATGCCTGCCCTGATTTCAATAAATCCCATTCAGTGACATACCCAGCTTCCTTCAGTGGTGGCCCCAACCCCTTGAAGAGATCTAAGGTAAGGATCTGTGAGCGTGGGAGGCCACAGGAGGATATTCTCAAGTTTTACAGCTGTGTGAACTTAGAGTGCCCATGTTTGCAAAACACATCAAACCACACACTTGGGCTGGACAGCTTTCCGTTGTTTTACTGAAGAATCACAAACACCTACTTAGCTATGTTAACAAACAGCTATTGAACAAAGAAAACTCCATCCCAGCAATGAGCAAACTGAACAGCAGCTTCACCAGTTTGCAAGCCAGAACACCCCTCTCACAAATGATACCCATCAAGCCACTCTGTTTCACAGATTTATACCAGGAGAGAATCAAACTCGTTACTGCATTTCTATATTTCCAATCTGTTCCATTCCTCCTAATGATAAATTTTCCATTGTTAGCATGAAGCAATTTGTTTTGAAGTGACCAAATATTTGGACAGAGGTTTTTTATAAAAATCAGGCATAGATTCTATTTGAATTTAATAAAATGAGAAGTTCTTTAACGGCTCATCTAGCCACAGTGAGTTCAACTCCCACTTCAGCTTCCTGTAGAAACTGGGTCACACTAAAATTCAAGAAGTGAGCAAAGAAAAACATGATTTGGCAAAGGCATAAGGGAACTCACCCATAAATTTCTGAGAAATGCTTTGATACGTTTTTCAATGATTGTTACTTGTCAAATAAAGGAGTTTTCCAGGGAATGAGGACTGGAATTCAAGACTTTCCTCCTCAGAGACTGTCCTGACTTTTAAGTTGAAGAATTACACCATTTTTCAAACATAAACATTCTGGCCAGGTGGGTCAGATTTTGCTTTGTTCCCAGTGTGATGCACTAGGTTCTGCAGATGGCCTCTAAAATTTTCCCACAGTGGTAGGGCACTATTTTGAGAAAAGGAGAGTAAGGTTTTGTATCTTTCTTAGGCAGGAAAGAGAACTGAACACCAAAACCAGATTTCAATCAAGTTCCACATTACAATATATGGCTAAAATCACACTTTATGGAAAATTAATGAAACTCCAATGGTTTTGATACAAGAGCTAATATTTGCTTTCTTGGAGGATTGAAGAGTACATGCTATGAATTAATAAGGGTGTCCCCAATTTCCAACTTGAAAGAGCTGCATGATTTCTTACTTTTCTGCCTTCCCAGTGTTTCCAAGCTGGCTACCATAAGACAACCAGTCACCAAGTCTCAGGCATCTGACTTTCCTTGAGACTCCAGTTTCACAAAACCAGGTGCTGATTCATTCTACTTGCCTTTAAGCACCTTCACTGAAGTGCCTGAAAACCTGTTATTAACCTACTCTTTTGCTGTAATTGGTGAAGAGAGCATTTTGGGAATGATTCAATTTCTTGCTATTAGCTAGACTGCAAGTCTAAAACCTAAATTTGGTACTTTGCTAAGAGTTGGATTTGCGTGGATGATGGAAATACTTCCCCAAAGCAGACATTTTTGGGTCATATTTTACTGGTGCTTTTACCCATAGTTTCTATCAAGTACTTTTTTTCTTTGCTTAAAAATGCACTTTATTTGACATTTCCAGAAGAGTAGGAAAAAGAAATTTAAAATTACTCTTTTAAAATTAACATATTTTCAGGACACATAAACAATTTTAATTATCATTTTTCTATTATATTGTTGTTGATGAACATTGAAATAATTAGAAGCTTGATAATAGAGACACTGTAATATTGTAATTCAGACTACAAACTTCTCTCCACAAAGAAAGAAAGGATGGAATACTATAATTTGGAGTTATGACCCTGCAAACTTTTTCGAAGCATTTTTTCTAAGAGATGCAAAAATGAAGCCCAGAATTATCATTTGACTCTCCACATTTATCTAACCACAGAAAAATAAAGCATAGATTAAGAACTTGAAATTAATAAATAGCGTATCAGTTTGAAACATGGAGTTCTAGAAAGAAAAAAAAAAAGGAATAGAAATACTTTGTAATGTATGTTAGTCAATCGGACAAACTGAAGCAACCTTACAATTTAAAAAATCAAACTCAAATATAAGCAAACCTTCATCTTTAAATGGTTAAAATGTTATGTGGAGTTCTTCGGCATAGGAACTACCTGAGTCAAGTGTGATCATATTTTATAGATTTGTTTTCTCAGGCCAATTTCCATTTCTCTTCAGACACTCTCCTACTTGAAGCATAGTATTTTGAACACTAACTGTTTGTAAAACCCCATACGGTCAATACCCCCTGTGGATCAGAACATGAAGGACTGGAGAACTCTAAAGCACAACCTGCAGATCACAGTTAATTTCAGATCGGTACTATCATCAGATTCACACAAAAGCAGGCACTGTAATGCCTGAGCACAGTGTTGCAACTTTCCACTTCCCAAAACTTCAGCTTTCTGGAGCGATGAAGGGTGAGGTATAAGGCCTGACTGGGAACCCTGAAGGTAGAAGGTGAAAGTTACCCTTCACTATAGGTACACACACTACATTCACATAAAACAAAAAAAAATGCGTTCCCTCATTTCTGCTTTTAATCAAGGATTACCAAGAAATTTGCAGTGAAATACACCATGATGCCATTGGGAATAACAGGTTTTAGAAAACCAGCCATGTAGCATAAATTTTACTATTATTATTTTGCTTCCCTTACTTTCTCTTATAGGTCCAGTGGTATAGTTGTATGCTGCCTTGATTCTTTTATTTGCTTTCAAACATGTATCACCCTATGAAGTGGATGCTGGAGCTGAGGTATCCATTTTCTAGCCACTACTCTACCAAAATCAACAAAATAGTCAGTGGGTTATATCACTAAACTAACATCCATATATTAAATCTATGCACTGCAGGCAGCAATGTGAAAAGAATGTGCCTTTTACACCTTCATTAGAGCTAGCATCGTTGTTCCACTTAAACATAGTATGCATGGATGTATATATAAAATAAATGAGTATTTATATACTGGAGTATTTGTATAAACAGAGAAGCATGTGGGACCACAGCAGGTTCCCCAATTACAAGTCAGCCACAACTTTGCAATGTGGTTATTGGCTGCAATCAAACAGAAAAAAATATTTCTGTTGGACTTCCATTTCATTGAAAGCTTTAAATACATATTTGAGCCTTAAAAACTGAGGGGGAGGGGATTATAGAATTTAATAAGAAGTTTACATGGCTTTGTAATCAACAGAATGCCACAGCACTATTATTTTGTGGGGTATTTTAATGAAAAAATAATTCATTTAAACAAAGGAAATTTTATCCCAGATGTGTATTTAAATAAGCAATTAAATATTTCAAATTAACTTTTACATTTCAAAGAACTCTGATTGTTTTACTTCTTTTGAAGAATAACAGAGATGTTTTTTCTCATCCTGATTTGTTTCAAAAGAACTGCTAGGTACGATGTCAGCCTGTTTCATAAGCTAACAGATGCCCTGCTGTCATATATCTGACACTTTCGACACTTTAGTTAGGAATGCTAATACAATGCTATGAAATTTGTATTGTTAGGTGTCCTTGGCTGTAAGAACTCATTTTCCCAATATTCCATACACAGTACTTGGTGATGTCCTACTAAATGGATACATTAACTGTGTTCTTAACTTTCAAGAGATCTACCTTATTACTTTTCACCAAACTGCTCACATATTTGCAGAATTAAAAATACGATAAATGTTACAGTATCTATCAACAACAAAAAAGGCACTGCAAAATGTGTTTAAGGTGTACTTCACTTTGATTTATGTGATACATGCAGTTCTGGAGCTATGAGACTTTTGCTTTGAATGTACTGCAGTTTTACACTCTTAGCACTCTCTCTGGGACTGATCCAAATCCCATTTCTTCAATGAGCTTTGGATCAGATCTAGATGTGCAGAGCTCAGAAGCAATTTTTATTCTCTGGATGTAGTGCAGATCACTGTATAGAAAACAAATACTTTATGCTCTGTCCTGTGGAAAATACGTATTTATTTGTTGTTTCTTGGTTTGCTCTTTTTGCAAGTTAAATGTAGGTCACTCAGACAGAAGGTATATGGTTGCTCTTTATGGATGGCGAAATTTAACACTTCTACAGGGCGTGAGACCAAACACTGAGCAACTGTAATCACTTGAGAAATGTAATAGCTGTGTGCTGTGTCTTATGGCTATTATGAAATGGAACTTATACCTAAAAATGAGGAAAACAGTTAGTTTTCTCCATTTATGGAGCTATGCCACAGTTATGACATAATTCATAGCCAGACAGAAAGTTCCAGTTGTATCCTTAGACATTTCATAACTCAGTGTAGTGGAAAACTGATATTGAAGAAAGATTTTTGCCAAATAAAGTTATTCATACACAAGCTTCCTTCTCATGACAGCTTCCCCACTGTACTGCAGAGCGATGCTGGAACTCTGCCTTGGGACCAGCACTTTCTACACCCACGCTGAAGGTTTATGTCCTGAGATGAGGTGCTTCTAATCCCCTGTGCTCTCCTTCTTATCCTTACTACCTTATTACCCCACAGTTTTGTGCAGAGAATTTTCTAGTTGCTTTTCTAAAACAAGTTCATAAATGGTGTATCTTCAGGATGTTTCTTCCATGACTGAAAGAATTTAATGATCAACCAGGGCTTGCGTGATTTTTCAACTTCCCTTATTATTTATTTTTAAACGGTTGCAGTTATCAGCAGAGAAAATAATGTGAACTATCAATTTTTTCTTCCAGGACGCAAAAAAGGCAAAGAGAAAGACTAATAGAATAGGAAAAAAAAAAAAAAAAACTTCCATATTCAGAATCCTTACTTCTTGCTGTTAAAAGCAACAAAGTAAAAAAAAAAAAAAAAAGTAAAAAAAATCTGAAAAATCTTGCAAAGACTTTTTTCAATATAAGAACGTTGGCAATCATGTATACTGTATAATTTGTATGCAGTGGAGCTATTTATTCCTATGTTTGGCTTAGAATTTCCTGTCCTCAGAAACAAATTAGAATAGACTAAGACTCAGATGATTTAGTAATCTCCAAATTCCCTGCAGTTTCAGTGTGACCCTTTGCAGAGGTAAACACAATCTGTAGAATAACTTATTATTAATCAGAAGAGTATGCCTGAGGTAGCTTTTATATTATATCAGGAATGCCACATGCTGCAGTGTCTATTGAGGTGGGCAGGGGACAGTAAACCCTCCTGACCAAGGCAGGGCCTTTACTCTTGGCCAAGAGATTGTCAGGTGAGCTTGCCAGGACAAGACGGGTCCACAATAGAGCAGAAGCCAAACCCAAGAGGCCCCTGGAATGCTCACAGACTGCCTGTGCCAACAGGGATGACATGAATAAGACCACTGTTTAACCAAGGAGGTCTTAGAAAGAGCTAGAGAAGATGGTCAAAGCACAGTCTATCAAACTTTTGTGGTGTTAGGGTAGGTGTGGGTAGGTCTTTGATTTGTGCGAATATTAGATACAATAAATTCTGCTTTATAACTAGAAGATTTTAGCTTTAGTACATGAGAAAGAGTCATCATAGAAGGAATGAAAAAAAGGACCTTGGAATGACCTGAAACCTTGGAAGCAGCTTAATGTCTCACTTCATGTAGGTGTAGATGGCCTTGCAGTTCACCTTCAGAGGCTGCCAGGTATCCAAAGAACCAGTTACCAGGGAAGTCCCATCAGCCCATAAACAAGGTGATAAATACATGCCTCTCCTTGCTGTATTTCTATCAAAGCTGTTGTATGTTGGAGAATGGAAGGAAAATTTTCCCTGTGTTACTCCAACTCTGAACTCATGTTGACATGAACCTTCCCACCTGCAAGCACTGCAAGACCTTTGCAATCTTCCTTCTAAAGCCTGGACATTACTGGCATCTAACAGTATGACCAAACTTGACATCTTAAAACCTTCATAGTTTCAAGCCTCATGAGGTCCTAAAAAACTGAAGCAGACACATATATCTTCAAGGAAAATTATTTTTTAATTTAATTACTTAATTATATTCATATTTAAATAACTGATATGGTTATTAGACACTGTTTACAAAACATTACCAAACATTGTATATTTAATATTATAGAATTATATAGAACCATATTTAGCCATTTATGCTGATTCTTCTTACAGAATCTAGTTATTATTTTAAAAGCTAACTACGACAGGAGTCAGACTGTAGAGCCTCTGCTCAATGCTTTAATATTTAAACATGATGTGTGTCATTACTGTTAGCACCAAGTGTTATTTCATAAAGGTAGGAATTACTTACAGTTGCAGTAGCAAGGAGTTCAGTGTACAACTCCGTTATTACAGCAAAATGTACAACTGCATAGCAATTAAGATAAGCTGGTACAATTGGATTGAAGGGAACTTCTTTTCCAGTGATCTGTATAAGCCAAAACAGATATTAGTCTTCAAGAGTGACCTGCTCCTTAGCAGACTTACAAATACAAAAAGCAAGACAGAGAATTGCATAAAGATTATCTACTGTCAGACTCATGTACTACCTACTGTGAGACAGAGTTTAACTCTGTATGTGTGTGTGCGTGTGTCTGCATGTCCACATTAAAAAAAAAAAAAAAAAGAAAAAAAAAAGAGAGAGAAATTACTGTACTCTATAGAATAATTTTGAAAATCTCTTCAGGAAATGAATAACAAAGAAATAAATAAAAAATATATTTTCCCCTTTGAATAAAACAAAAACACCCCACATCTAAAACATTAATTTCCTTCAGTTTCTGTTCCCATTTCATCTTCCCCTATGCTTTACGACTGCTAATTTGCTAATTTAAAATAGCATGTGTAGAGTTTTTAACATTGCTCCAGTAGCATTAAGAGGTCCAAGTAAATTACACACAACTGAAAGCCTATGCATGTTCTATTTACCACCGGGATTTCCTCAGGAAGGCCAAGTCTAGGTTTGCCTGGTCCCCAGCCTGGCCCTTTGAATATGACAGAAAGCTTATTGCAGAATCCAGGTGTGGCCCAAAATGTGTTCCAAATATGAGCCAAGGGACGTAGCTGGAAAAAAAAAGATTAAGTAATTTTTCACTGTTAGTAAAATAAAGTTTAATAAAACACTATATTTTATCCATTTTTAGCTTTCAAATAGATGATTTATCAAACTCTGCAAAGAGAATAAATTCGAAATAGATGAAGACAGTGCAGAAAACCTGGCTGAAATAGGTAGAAGCCATAACAAACCCCTGGTTTACTGTGAGGATTACAATGACTTCTACCCAGAGGAATATGTGTTTTTTTATCTGTCTCTCCTATAATCAATCCAGAGTATTTAAGGGTATACGGTGTAGCTATATTTATGGTAGTTTTAATCTAGAATTTGGTTACTGGGACCTTGACATGACATGCTCTCAAAAACTAAATTACTTGGTATGTGACTAGAACAGATATAGTTGCACATCCTTCCAGTTTCAAGCCCAGACACTCACGCAGGTAGTTCTCATTCTCTGAGATGCCTCCCTGGATGAACATTCATTAAAAGCAAGTACAGACTCCACTACTTCTCAGGTTTTAACACAGAATGTTTATCTAGCTTAAATGAAATCTGGATCAATAAGTCTAAGAAGCATCAAACCTAGTATTTTTTTTCCTTTTTTAATTAAGAAATTATTTTAAGACTGTTCTGGAGGTTTTGCTGAGACCATGACAGCTGCTATACAATCCTATCAACATAAATCATTCTGGAATACATTGAACAACAAATATCCAAAAGAGATATAAACAGTATCCAAATAATAATGGATTTTTTTTTATGAAATAGCAGTATTTAGAGAAGAAAAACAACAGAAAAAATATATTTTTGTCCATGTATCACTGCATATTGCAGAACAGATATCATTCAATCCAAAGCCTGTTGTATCACCACTGTAATTAGTTGTTAATTTTACTGTTTATATTTTTATGATTACTACAAGTTCTGCATATACTCAGTGCAGTGAGTAGAAATTACTGTCTTGCAATGAAATACTGAAAAAAAATTAGCTAATGTAATTGACTGTACAGCAATGCAAGGATGGTCTAAATTGCACCTAAGAGAGGACTTTCTTTTGAACACGACTGACGGTTGAAGATACCAGAGTCAGTGATACAAACTGTAGCACCTGGAGCATGATGGGGTCAAACGAATTTACTGGATGTGTTAAGCCATATACAACTTTTGCATCTTCAGCCTCAAAGGTTCCTGACAGAAGAAGAAAGCAAAAGAACAACCAACAATCAAATTCAAAGGTATACGTATTTTGACTAAACATGAGGGAGAAAACCTTTTTTTACTTACCAAATATCCTGTCCCAGATAATAAGTGTGCCTCCATAATTTTTGTCAATGCAGTAAGGATTTCTACCTATAATAAAAATCACTTATGTGAGAAGTAGTGGTATATAGAAGAATACATGCAACTGAATTATGAAGGAAAATCATAATTAGCATCGCTTTATAATCTAAAAACAATTTTAAAAGTTAGCTAGCTCACCACTCACAATTCTATTAAATCTCTTCTTTTCTTATTATCCTTCCTGCTCTCTTTCTATTCAGATTCCAACATGCAAACCCAATGTGTCATACTCAAAATTTCTGTGAAATAAAAGGACTCCTTTGTAGAGTAAAACTAATTCAAAATATGTTTATCAGGACAAATTAAAATGCAAACAAAAATAATTTCACCATTTTATACCACAGAAAATATATGCTAAACACATGTATGTGTAATGATCTCATTAATGGCTATCGGCTGTCTCTATCTTCTATATGTCTGAACCTGCTTTCATTACTATTAATTTCGGTGTGAGGAAAACTGATCCTTCATGTTTTTCTAGGGAATGCTTTTGTATATAGACTGTCCTCAAAGGTATGAGCAAAGAAATATTAATTATATATCCCTAAGTTCATGAAGATTCTCTGGAGCAACTATACAACCCTTGATCAGGGTGTTTCAGTTTAACTTCGATCAGGATTTGTTTAGATTTACAGCAAAGCAAATAAGAGTAGAGAGTCTCCCTCCAGGACTACCAGTAGTTGTGTAAATTTTAAGGATTAGACACTTACAGCACCACAGTTTTTTAAAAAGTCTACATAGTGCCATAAACACTTTACACTTGGAGGATATAATAAATATTAATAATATCCTCTGTACATATAACTACAAATAACTACATTTGAGTCTGTTTCAAACTTTTCTTCCATCCCCCTATTTTTTCAAACTTATTATCTCTGCACATTGAATGAGCCAAGAACATCTATAAAATTCACTTCTACTCCTCAGATATGTTCATGACATTTTTCAGTACGCAGTGGAGTTCATTCTTAATCCACTTACATATCCTGTACAGTCTTGAATGCCTCTGAATATTGATGAAAAGTCAATCATCATTCACTTGTGTGGAGTGAAAATAATTCAGACAGCCAAAACCAAATTCCACTACAACATTTAACAGTTATTCTAAAACATAACCATGTCTTTTCACACTTACAGTGCTTGAATTTTAATACAAAATCATGTTTATTGATGATGTTTCAGTAGTCAGGGAAGGATAAGACATTTTTCTATCACTCTTTATATTTACAAATATTGTTTTGCTCAGTCTTCAAATTATTTCATGTTATCCAGACTTAATTTCTGCTCAAAAAATAACCTTAAGCATAATTTTTTAAAAAATAAACCTAAGATCTAAAAATGTTTTTTTTTAAATAACGTGAAATTTCTAACTGAACAGGGACTATTTTTGAAGTAAAGGTCAAAATTTAAATCTTTCTGTAAAACTGATTTTACAGTACAATTTTACTACATTATTATTAGTATAGAAATAGTGAGCTTGAGGAAAAAAAACCCCAAACTCACACCATAGAATAAGATGCTCCATTTTTATCTTACCATGATGAACTCTGTGATGACTGGGAGTATTAAGAATCCACTCCAGAGGCCCAAGTTTGGTGATAACCTTAAAAAACAAAACGTTTCAATGAACTTGAAAATACTGCATAAGATGAAGAAGTGAAAAGAGAGGGAGAAAATGCAAAAAAAGAAGAGGATGTTTATCTTATGGAGAATTGCATAAAGAGACAAAAATGTAAATTTTTTTTGTCTAAACCATTTCATTGAAGTACTGTTACAAGAACTTTCATGAAAAAATAATCAAATAGTAAAATACAAGTTAAATTTAAATTTCTTTTTGATCCAGCAGCAAATTTTGTTCTTATTGTTATTATTAGTTCAAGATTTTATGATAATCAGAGAGAGAACTGGGAATCGAGAACTGATACTAGCATAGAGTCACAGTGAAGTGGTTGTCCCTCTGTACTCAGTTCTGGTGGGGCTGCACTTTGAGTACTGACTGTGTTTTTGGCCCCTCACTTCAAAAAGGACATTGAGGTGCTTGAGCATGCTTAGAGAAGGGTAACAAAGCTGGTGAAAAAAGTCCAGAAAACATGTCCTATGAGGAGTGGCTGAGGGAACTGAGGTTGTTTAGTCTGGAGAAAAGGGGACTCAGGCAGACCTAATTGCTCTCTTCAGCTACCTAAAAGAAGGTGGTAGTGAGGTGGGGGTTGGTCTCTTCTGCTTTGTCTCAAGCAAAAGGTCAAGAGGAAATGGCCTTAAATTGCACCAAGTGGCATTCAGATTAGACATTAGAAAAAAAACTTTCACTGAAAGAGTGATTAGGTATTGGAATAAGTTGCCCAGGGAGGTGGTGGCATCAATGTCCCTGAAAATGTTCAAGAGGTGTCTGCATTTGGCACTTGGGGATATGGTTTAGGGGTGATTCTGGTGGTGCTGGGTTGACTAGATGATCTTGAAGGTCTCTCCCAACTTTGATGTTTCTGTGATTCTATACTAGTTGTTTCACTCATGTTTCTTATTCATATCCAGGAGTACTCCCTGGGATCCAGTGTAACTCTGTGATTCAAGTTATATGAACGCTTTACATCAGCAAATGGCATTGACCCAGAAGCAAGTACTCCTTCCTCCTTCAGAACCTTTGACTATTTGTTCCTTCTTTCAATGCCCTTTTTTTACCCCGTCACAAATGCAGTAACACAACAAACCTGATTAGGGAAATGATGCAAATCAAAACTAATTTTGCTTTGTTTTCTCAGTTAGTTTAATTTAATCAGTTCCTGAATCTGATCCAACATATGCTCACAAAGACACCAGCATGAGTTGGAGGCATGAAAAGAAAGCAGACGAACATAAATTCATAGTGGAGCTGCAATTTAAGGCAATGAGTCAACAGCACAGAAACTCTAGCCTTGATCATTCCAGTACCATATCCAAAGCAACAGAAAGCATAAACTGCCATAAACTCAACTCTAATTTTCCAAGCTTTGTCAGAAAATGTGGGTGAATTAAGTTTGTATCAGCAGGGTTTATGCTAAATTAGGAACTGTCTGGAATTATGGAGGAAAGCCACCACTGACTTCAAATTTTGTGCTTTGGTTAGCTCAACAGAAGTGTGTGGACACCTGAAAACAGCAACCATTCCTTAATCCCAAACATAAATCCATCAGTCACAAATTGATACAATCCCTGGTTAACCAAAAAGGACTTGTATTCACAATATATTCTAAAATGGTATCTAATCACCATGTCTTATGACCATAATGTCTTGCAATTAAAAGGGAGGAAGGGGCATGAAAGCAGCTAAATAAAAATGCTTAGACCTTAAGAAAAAAATCTAAGAATCTATCACTTTGTCTTTTACAGAACTTAATTAGTAAATATAATACTCATGCTGCTGAAAGGGGTAATCTGTAATATAATAATAGAGCAGGTCCACTCAACTAAAAGCTAAATATACAAAGAGTTTTATTCATTTAACATTTACAGAACAAAGTCCTGAAAAATGGCAGTTCCATTTCTCTTTGCAGTTGTGCAAGTGCAAGCAGATCTGGATTCAAAAGCAGACTTAGCACATTCATCATATGTATTTAATTTGTTATGAATCAGGAAAGTACCACAATAAAACGGGAAAAAAATTATTATTATTTTCTCTTTAATAACAGTAAAAAGAACATCTACCTAATTGGTTAAGTAGAGCATTTCTGTAATTAAGAAGTATAGAAATGAGCAAATTCTTCAGGTAGAGAGAACTGTAACATTTGTAGCATCTTTCTCAAAACCCTGCACACACCTGATGAGAAAAGTAGGATTTTAAGAAAAGGTTGTTTTGTTTCATTTAACTCAGAAGCCAAGGATAACATAAGTAGGACCATTTGTATTTCTTATTTCTCCCTCAAAATAAGTTCAAGTCTGAAAAGACCACCTAAAGGTAAGAAATAATTCGTCACTCATGCCAGTTCGATTTCCCACCTTTCTCAAGCAGAACATCCCCCTGTTTTAAGCTATATGAGATGTGACCACTCATTTAATTTAATTTGAGTCAAATGTCTTGGATTGAACTGCTACCCACCACCTGAGAGAGCAGTGATTTCTCTATTACACCACAACTAACTTTGAACCAGTTGGTTTTAACATATTTTTAGCTAAGTATTTTTAAAATTTTTGTGAAAATAAACCAAATTTGCACTAGGAGAGCAGGGAATCAGTAAGGAATAGCAGTCTTCACTTTTAGCCTACAGGTGGATTATAATGTATTCTCAGAATTAATACCTTCGGGTCTCAATACCCAGCTGATTGAATAAATATTTTAAATTAAAATTCATCCTTTTGAAAGTCTACATAACACATCAATATGCTAAAGCATAACTATGTGTCTGGGGCTCCCTAAGGACCTCAGGAACCTACATAAAATTTTAAATAAGTATTTTTGACTAATCCTAGAGAAAGTATTTTCTTTGGATAATGAAACCTCTCTCATTCTTTAAAACAGTCTTTCTTGGAGTGATGACATTCAAAAATATACCAAAATATCTTCTCTACGGTATAATAAGTGATTGATGCCTGAGCCTACTTCGATTCATTATTCAGTCAAGGTGACTTCCATTGCAAAGATATATTAGCCACATACTGATGGAAATATCTGAGATAACAATTATAACTGCATGACTCTTAAGATCAGAGGCAGTACAGAGCTCCGTACCTGATGAAGCAAAAATCCAGGATGATGAAATTAGCAATCCATAAAGAAACCCTTTGTCTAAAACACATCCAAAATATTTTTTCAACAGACAGTCAAAATGGTACTGGGTGCTATTTCTAGAAATTTCCTTTGCTATCAGTAGTAAGTTTTCTTCTGGATGTTTAACACATTCCTAAACCATAAAAAAATGTTGTCAGTGAAAAACTCAGTGCCAAAAATTTTATAAATATTTTATAAACATATACGCTATAAATATAACCAATTATTCCAACAAACAGAAACATATCATCACTGAAAAGCTGAACTTTGAAGGCTTCTGCAGCACCTCATGGCAAAGAAGATAATTATTTTGTTTAAACTTGTTGAATTTTTCTATATTCTGCCATTTACCTGGGGCAAAACGCAGCAGATTTTTCACCAAAGTAAACTGTCAAGGCTAGGATCGTAGGACAACTTTTACCAGGCAAGATGCTGACACTATCATGTCAGGCTGACAGGAACTTACTGCAATAGCAATGAAAGGAATGAAGTTTGTAGGAACTGACTCATAACAAAATCTAATGTAGTGCAACAATAGTCCTTGTTATAAAGAATGCCTAACAGGTAACAGTGAGAAGAAAGGCAGCAGCAGTTACTCCACCTACCCATCTACTTTTCATCTGTCAGTCTATCCTTGTTTCCGTGCCTTCATTTTATCCAGACATTTTCCTTGAAGAATCTCAATTTCTAAGAAGCATTCTTTGTAGCAGTAACCAGACTTATGCTGCAGTTGTAACAAGTCACCAAAGCATATACACTAAGTCTCAGTTATTTGAGACAGAAAAACATTTTCAGCTTATAGTGTGGTATTCAAGTTGGCTTTTTACAGTTAGAGTTTTCACAATGTTCACATTTCAGGAATAAAATTAAAAAAAAAAGTTTAAAAATAAATGTGATAAGAATAGCAGATCAGCTCAGTTTTTTTTTTTGCTTGGAATCAGGATTTTCATTAAAAAAATGCAAATGCTGTTACTGTATTTTTTATATCAGGCCTTTTAACTGGAAATTAGTTTCAAAAGTAAAAAAAATAAATCCATGAAATGTCATTGTTCAATATCCCAACGAACAGTATTTCAAAACTTATTACATATTATTCAAAGGAAATACTGTGAATAGAAAATATTCCTATTCTTTACCTCATCACTTTGCAGTGATTTGGGGAATACAGAAAAATAGCTACCAATCCCTTAAAAGTTGAAATACCTCAGGTTACTATCGTCCCACAGTAACCTTATCTGTATTTTGACCAACATGAATGGAGATTTACATTTGTGTTTGTTTCTCTGATATAGATACCTACGATTCTAAATCAGCTTCTGTCTCCAATTTTTCCTTTCTCAATTAACACATCATGTGCACCTAAACTCCCATGCTAGTGACTAATAGATGAATAGCAGCATTCCAACAAAACTCTTTTCCTATTTCCTTTATTAACATCCCATTGCCACAAAAACAATCTTTCACTTGTCAAAATCCTTACAAATGGACTCAATAAACTGCCTGCAAATCAGATATGTAGGTGTCTTTCATATACTAGATATAAAAGCTTTGTCAGAATTCTCCACAAAATACGCATTCTTTCTTTCTTTACTTTAAAAAACAACTTATTTCCTCTGTTGTATTTGGGTATCACTAAATAATAAAGCAGAACCACTGACAATAACTGAAGCAACTCCAAGGGCAATAAATACGGCAGGCTAAAAGCTGCAGATTTAGAAATAGCTTCCAGGCATTACTGAATGAAACATACTGGGATTGAAATCTTCTAATATAATGAGAACTAAATGCTTTTTGCTACAATAGTAGTTCTTATATAAAGATGTTTCCTTTGTGACAGCAATCCCCAGTCTAAAGGAAAAGAACAT